CTTCCCTTCTTTCAGGCATGTCCCATATAGCAGGAGGGAGCCAAAACCAGATCTCAGAAGGTCTTTGAAGTTGCATATTTAATTAACCCTATCACAGATTCTCTCCCCTGCTTTCCCTGAAATTAATCTGAGATGCAATCCCATGTAAGTAGCTCAAATATGAGCTATAGAAGTATTTTCTAGTGAACTTTTTCCAAGTGGTTTCTCTTTGAGTTCATTCAGCCTTGTAGGATTGTATTGTTCACCATAAAAAATGCTGTAATTGCATAGATGACTTGTCTTGAAATGTTACAGGTTTTTTACATGCTTCAGTTTTGCTCACAAGGTTGATATTACTGCTTGATATCTGGAATATGAAAAAAATGCCACTTTTGCTGGACTGTTGCTCTCCAAATTTTAATTGTACTGCTGTTCTTTATATCACTCTATGTAATTTGTTCTTACTTAGTTCTCATATGTCTTTTTGCCACATAGTCTATTCTGATGGAGTTCAGGTTAGGAAACCATATATTGTGATATGCTGTAATGAAGGTGAAGTATTTAACATTATCCTTAACAAAGTATTATGAGAGTTGACTACTGAAACATGCCTAAATTACTCTCTTCCTATTATGGTCTATTTATTTTAGCTATACTTGCTCAAAGCGAACACTTGTTACAAAAAAAAGTCAACCCTGCTTCTCTGATCCTACTGTGTTCCTGCTCCCAGTGCCAGCCCAGTGCCTGTCCTGAGCAAATGAGCCAAGCTGTGGGCAAGTGTGCCAGGGCCTGAAGGGCAGGAATCAGTCACAGCCATTTCCAACCCTATGCAGTGAGCCACCTTTGCAGAGAACACTCTTGGTTTTCTTTCCACTGGGCTCTTTTCAAATGGGTGAGAATAAGAACCTTGTTTTTCCTCTCACATGTATTTATATATGCCTGCTGGGAAGTGAGTTATTACCAAATATAGCTTCTAGGGCTCCAGCAGAATCTTTCCAGCCTGGCTGGCTGCCAAAAAAACCCACCCTTCAGAAAATACAAGGCTATCACATTTGCCAGAGATTTACTAGGAAGCTGTGTGTGTGTGTGCACTCTGGAGCACACATGCAGTACATCTGACACTTCCCCAAAGCACTGAGCTCACTGTGCTGCTGATACATTGATAAAATTCTAATTGTGCTTCCTATATTTCCAAACAAACATATACGTTCACTGTAGTGAATCAAATACATTTCAGAATGTACACACATAACAAATACATGTGGAATTTTTGGACATATGGTGACCTGTTTGGTGCTGCTGTGTGTGTAGAGCTGATGTGACCTAAATACAAAATAAGTAGGGTATGTATGTACATATGTATGAGTAAGAGTGAGGATTCCCTGGGGAATTGGGAAATACTCAGTAGTCAGAGACATGCAGGGATACACTACATAAAATTTCAAGACTAAGAATCCATACAATACAATTCTTAGGATCTGAGGAGAAATGATTAATGAAAGAACTGCACAGGAGTTATGTGGTATTATGTGTCCAGCAACAGCTAATGTCATTATTGGCATTCACAAATTATAGCACCATCAACATTTTGTCTGTTAGAATTTTCTGTGTTTACAGATGGGACCTCTAAACAGGCGTTTCCAGGTATAATTTGAGTCATAATTCAGTTTTCATAGTACTTTGCATAAATGTCTATTTTTGGTGATATGCTGCTCTAATTCATTGCAACATTTTTCAGTTTTAGGTTGGGCAAACTGACAAGAAAAGCCAATTGCTTTTCATACAGTATTGGTTTCTGAGAGACTTTCAGAACCAAATTGCACAGACATATGTCAGAGGGAAGCCTGATCCCATGTACAATTTAGGTACTTTATGGTGTCGTGCAAGGAAGGCTAAGTTCAGCAAATAGTGCTTTGTAGTTAACCTGTCAACCTATTGATTTGAAACACCTTCATTCTAAGAAAAGCATCTGTCTGCTTGAGTTGTCTACATTAAGCATTGCAGTTATCCTTATAAAGATTAAGCTCATTAATATTTAAAATTCACTTCAGCTGCATCTCTTACAAGAAAATAATATTTCCCATAACTTCCATTAATTATAACCAAATTAACATGAACTGAGAATAACTGATTGGGAATAAATCTTCCATGTTTCAAGCCAAATCTTAGTAGAAGTGATAACAATACTTGTAGTGACACTCATGATGGTTATTCCTTATTAACTGTACACTAAGAAAGAGCAGAGGTTGTTGGCCAGGTAACACAAGAGGCATCAGGACATGGTCTGCTCTAGCTCATCCTGCTGGAGCAGGAGGGTTGGACAAGTTGACCTCCAGAGGTCCCTTCCAACCTCAACCACTTTATGATTTTGTGAAATAAAGATCCAGAGGAACTAAAATCCTGGTACACTTCCTAAATTGATACAAAGCTCAGCTGTGATATAATATGTGTAAGAAAACTGCTGGTGCAAGCCAGTGTGTGTGGTTGTGTGTCAGGAAAGGTGGCATCCCAAACCACCAGGGATCTCTGCTGGTCATAATGTTCTGTGGGACCAGTAACTGCTTGGTTTAGACTATATCAGTTTTAAAACTGATGCAACCTAATTTTGGGTTGAGATTGGATGACACTGGGATTTGAATAATGGTAGTCTCATCCCATATTGCTTTCACTTGCATATTCTAAATAGGCCTAAATTTGAGCAGACATGTAATAGCTGCAGTATTTACATTTACTTAGCACCTGTTGATGTGTTTATAATAGGGTTAAAATATGCAGTTGCACAGAGAGCTGTGCTGTAAACTTGTGGCACTGGGCTGTCCTAGGGAAAGCTTGCACTACAGACAGGATGTCAGCTGAACCTTTTCTCAGTGCAACCCAAATTTTAGAAGCTACTACGTAGAAAACAGCTTTTCTGACTGAATGAATGACCTGAATGAATAATCTGAAGAAGCTCTCTATGCTGTGCCATATTTATTTGTTTTTCATGTGAAAACATAATTCCTGCAGGGAATTCTGTTCCAGCCACAGAGCAGAGGCCTGTGAACAGCTCTTGGTTGTGCCTGAACGTTCCCTTAGGAAGTGCTGATGGTCAGGGAAGCTCCCAGTGACAGAACAGGAGCCAGCAGCTTGGATGACAATAGTCTGTGTCTGTGCTAACTGCAGCTGGCACCATTAACTACCTAGCCACACACTGAAATAAGAACAATTATCACTGCATGCATTAAAATGATGAAATCCACTCTGTTTCTATAGTAACCGGAGTGACAATTTATATTATGACCTTAAGAAAGTAGAATGTGACCATTTCTTTTTTTTTTTTTTTTGCAGTTTTACAAGGAGCAGCAATTCTCAGAGAAAACAATGTTTAAGGTGATGCAAATAATTTACAAAAATAAAGGTAATATGTACTTTAGCAGTAACAGAGATGTACAACACACATTCAGTTTGGAATGTTGGTTTTGACTTATTGTGTTATGTAGAGACATACCTAATTTAGTGCTGTTTGAAGGAGATTTTTTTTCTGTTTATTACAAATAATTTTTAAATGGAAGCTTTACAAAAAATCAAGAGTAAGAGAGAAAATAAAGTGACAACTTTAGCAAGTCAAAATTTTGTAATTGTTTTGCCACCTGGTCTGTCTGAAAGTATCATATGAAAAATATATATTCTGAGCTTTTTTCCTCAGAAGCACATTGAAGTACCAACACTCTCTAAGAGTGTTCATGGATATCTTTATTATATTGCAGCATTTTTAAGCCTATCCAATTTATCTAATTAGTTTGTTTATTAGTAGCAGAAAGCTGTGACAAAATGTTTAGCTCGATTGTGAAGAATGTACCTTTATAGATACTTGTGAATATTAGAGGAGAGTTCTTGAGTTCTTTAAACTGATTTCAGCATTCTGTTTTAATATGGCTTTGTTCCATAATCACCTCCCTTTACAAAAGATACAGCATGTTTAACTGGGCAGTCATTTAGTAACAGTCATAATTCTTGAAGTATTCAATAATTTACAGCCTTCCCTCTCTGTCCATACGTGTCTCGCTCCAAACCTCTCTCCTCATGATGTGCTAAACATGTAGAGTCTTTCTCTGGGCCATTCCAGAGCCAGGATCCTCTGCAGTGAGGGAAGGACTAGGGAATATCTCCTCAGGTCACCCAAAGCTTCAGGAGGGTGACAGTAACCCATGTCTGTTGGGATTTCCTTGTGTGCAGCAGATAAAGAAAGACCTTAAATGTAGCTCTGTGCTAAACTATCGTGTTCAGTCACTTGGTGTTCTTTCTTTACATGTAGCATTAATTATTGTCTTGAATTTATAAGTTTTTTTAAATTAAGTTCAGTTACTAGCATTTATCATAATGCCAGAGATGTCTGTAGCCATGGGTTTAGGTAAGTTTTTAACCTCCAGCTCATTTTTTAAATTTCATTTCACTACAGTAGAGCATAAAATACAACAACATACTTAGATTGTTGATTTAACTGCATTTCTTTAATGCATGCAGATGTTTTAAATTTTTTTCTTTATTATGCATCCCAAACTTAAAAATAGGTCCATTCTGTGCTGACAGTTATAGTGATAAACACAGATGTTTTTCTTCAAGAACTGCAAATAATTTGATTTTAGGTGATAAGCAAGTGTTCTGTTCAAAGTCTGAAACATTCTATTCCATTTCTAAGAGGATTCAACTGAGCAAATCAGAAAAGTTAAGTAAGAGTAAAAATGCTGATTATTTCTAGCATGTGGACTTGCACAATAAATACATAGTCAGTTATATCAAAATAAATCTTGCCGTTTATGGGCCACATTGTCCACTGTATGTGAATTAGGAGACTACATGACTGTCAGAGCAAGAAAGGAAACTACTTAAATAGAACAGGGAGAATGAAGAAGACTGCTTTTGTTCTTGTAAAAAGAGCAGTATTTAAATCCACCTGACATGTTTCCCTTCTGGAGCACAAATGGAGTCAGGAACTCTGAGTTCATGACACGTCTGGTTCTAACTTGGGGAGATCAAGTGTGGTCTGAAGAATGGGGAAGGCTGGTTATTCCATCTGTACATTCTTCATTTTGATTTTTATGATTCTTGTGTATGTATGTTTTGTACTCCTGTGACAGTTCCTCTCTAGATGGAAATGTCTTGGAAGATTAGCAAGAGAATTTGTGTGGAATGGAGAAAAAAATGGAATGCACTTATGCTGTTCTTGGACTTCCAATGATAGGATTATGTTCTCATAGTTATATTGTTATTTCACTTAGTTTAGCTTGCTTGTTCATAGAAAATGTGTAGAAATATTCATTTGCACTTCCCTGGGGTTTTTTGTAATTACAAAGGCTAGTATATCCTACTCAAACCATGGAGTATTTCCCAATTCTTTTGTGTTAAATGTCTTGAGATGACTGCCTGAAAAAGACATGTAGCACCAAAAGGAGAACTCTGTGAACCAAGAGTTAAGGTTGCAATTGGCATGCAAGTACTATATAAATCTTCCAAATTCCAATTCAATTTACAATTTAGCAAATCAAACTCCAGCTAATAATAAGATTTGTAGAAGAATAGATGCAATGGAGTAGTTTAGCTGTGAACTCATGGGTACATGTTGCTTTTTAAGCTGTAAAAAGCTGAAGGATCATAACCACGGTCAGCCAGTAGATTCTGTTCCCACGCACAGCCATGCATCAGCCAAGGATTAGTGCAGAGAGACTGATGACTTTGCACTAATGAACAGTGTGTTGCAATAAACACTAAACTGAAAAAGACCTATGGTAAGGATAGGTAATCACTGCGTTTTATCAAGGCAAAATTAATAGCTAAATATGTCTGATTTTAGTTAGAATGTACCAGATTGACTTTATATTTTAGTGACAACTTTTTATTTGCTGAGCATCTGTTTGTTCATTCAGTTTTCAGCTATAAAATCATTCTTTCTTAATCCTTACATCATCACAGCTATAATATAATAATTAATAAATACTTCAGATTTTTTTCCCCAAATTGATAGATATGCAAATATGTATTGTTTACTCACTGATCTTTCAAAACTGAACATGAATGAAAAAATTAAACTACACTTCTCTTCATGAACACACCTCAAGGAAGTCATCTAGTTTTGGAAAATCATAGAGAGGATCAGGGAGCAGGATCCTTTTAAAACTAGGTGCCCATTTGGAAATTAAAATGGAAAAAAAGAAGTCAAGTGAATGAATGACAGCTCATTGTATTCTGCTGCATGTGTTCACCTCGGACTAACATTCCTGTTTGCCATCTTGTTTGCCCAAGAATTCTGCTCAAGATCCTGAATGTTAACACATGCCTTGAATTCCCTTGGTATCCCTATTTTACCTCTGCTGCTCCAAGGGTCACTAAAGGGCTCTGCCTTTGGCCTGGAGCAGGCAGAGTGTGGAATGCCAGTGTGGAATGCCAGTGTGGAATGCCAGCCTGCAGTGGGAGTGAGCACAGAGGATGTTCAGTAAATTCAGTGCCAGGCTGTGGTTCCAGTTTCCAGGAGGGAAGGGCTGTGTGCAAGGCATGGCTTTCAATAGAACTGGAAGTTTCCATTCTGTGGTTTAAACATATGAATTTCAAATGAAGTCTAGGGTCACTTTGATCTGGTAAGATTTTATTAAATGGAATCTATTTCTAAATTTTCCTTATATCTTGTTTTGTCCATAATCTTGGCTTCTATTCTTTAAAGAATGATTCCTAAGTCATACAGACCAATAAAAGAGGAAAGTATTTTTTAAGTTAAATAATGAGCATGACAAAGACTAATCTAACTAATAATCTGATTTTTATCCTTGTTCCACCATTTCTTCAATATCCTTTAAAATATTAATTTGATATAGAAGCAAAATGTCACATTACTTGTGTTGCATATGAATGTAAGTCATGTCTTCACAGCATATGGTATTCAGCTAAGACTGGTATAGTTGTCATATGTCTAAGTCTCCTCTGGTATTAGGTATTTAAATTTCTTCCCCTGCATTTTGCTGTGGATAAGATGACACTGGGCATTTATGGTACTCAGAGAGGTACCCTTTTTCTCAAACAAGTGGTTCCTATTTATTTAAACCTTTCAAGAGAGTTACTGTAAAATTAAGCTATGCACAACATCCCAAATGTCTACTGCTGGTAATAAATTCAATTTGCAATAAACCGGAGTCCAGTCTGGCTTACTCTGTTGTCCATAAATTTGTGACATCTCACAAATGGAAGACTGGAAGACTTTACAGTGTCTCCCTCTTCTGCTGCCACTGCTTGCTGTCCTGAAGGAATTCACTGATTTTTTTTAAATAAGGTATCAGAAGTCTGCTCATTGTAGTCTTTACCTTGGATTTCTGGTTTTTCCCTAGGCCAGAATTAAATGTGTCTGAAGTGTCCAGCAGAGGGTCTTGCACAGTTCTTTTAGTCCCCCCTTCTTGATTGTGATAAGGAACATTGGGTCCCAGAACAGAAGTGCTGGCTTGTCATACTGCAACAAATCTGGAGAGAGAATCTTTCAAAAAATTGGACTCACTTTCTAACGTTGCCATAGCAATATCATCTGCACGTTCCTAAGTGAAAGTTTTAACTTAATGGGAATAACTGAATTAGGGAAGGAGCACTTAGAAGCTTTAGATGTGTTCTACTTTCCTAGACATCCATAATAATAATAATAATGTACTTTAACTTGAATTTATTTTAGGAAAAGGAATGAGAGCAAATGATTCTTTAGTAGCAGAGTCTGAGGTCTTTTAACTATGTAATTTGCAATGAGTGCAAAAAGTGGTGAACACAGTTTGTAAAATTAAACTGAAACACACTGAAAGAAAGTACTCAGTAATTTTGTAGCTGCATGAACGACACTCTTGAGTGATAGCACTTTTCTGCTCTTAGCTTTATTTCCTCAGAAGAGTGAGATAAATTCAGATGGAGTAGAGGAGATGTGTTCAAATTAAAACTGCATCACTCAGCATAGGATTAGTAAGAACTTGAATTAATTCCCTGAGTGAGATGTTTTGACCCAGAATGTGATACAGCAAAAGGATTTCCAGAAACTCCTTTTGGGAAAGTTCAGATTGTACTTCAAGTTGGGGGCACAGGCCCATATCTGACTCATTTTTATTCTCTGAAAAGTTTTGGGGTTAGTTTGTATACATAGTGCTTTATAACTGAGCAGGGGAAAGATGGTTTTCTTCTAAAAGTAAAGAACCAAATACCCAGTGTTCATCTGATGATCATGCATATACTTTCTAAAAATATATTCCCCCAAGATCTGCTTTTTGGTTCCGTAGTATTTTGAACTGAAGGTTTATTTGAGTTTGTTGTGCAAAGAATGGATGATACATAGGGGTCGATTTGGAGTTTATTCATTGAGAAGTATTTTGTCTACTACTGTGAACAGATTCCTGATCCAAGCATTGGATACATTGTCTTGTTTTATTTCCTCCTTAATCAGCTTTGCACTGTGATCAACATTCCAGCTTTTGCTTTTTTGCTGATTCTAGACTTGGAATGTTAAAAAAAATACACCCTTTACAAAGGAAGACCAAAATCAGTAATGCCAGGCTAAATCCTCCAGATTTTTAGCTACCTAGTGTTTATTAAGGATGCAAAGCTAGTGAGTGCACCCAACTGGCACATCACAAAGCTCTGCTTTTACGTTGGCAAAGCTGCAGGGCTTTTGTTGCTGCAAATAAGGTAGTACTGCAGTAGTTACTGCAGTGCTGTGGCTGCAGTAAAAAACTGGATGATAACTTAGCTTGAGTGGTTCTGGTTTTTTACAACTATGTTTTAAAGGAAAATGTTTTTCAAACAGCTACTCTCCACACTGCATCAAGGATCCATCCTATTTAACAAGAACTGAATTCACATTTAGACCTCAAAATTAAACAGTGATATTTTAAAAATACATAAACTGATTGGAACTTGCTGGTTGATAAGCAGTTTAGGAAACTTAGCTACTTCCAGTTCCATCCTAAATGGGAACTGCTGACTTCTTTGAAAAATCTCTCCCCTTAATTGTATATTTTGATTGCTAACACAGGGCTGTAAATCTGGCCTTAAAATGGTAAAGTACAAAGCACACAGTTTCAGTGATTTTCGAAACCATGGCGTTTTAATCTGGTTATTTGGTTTCATGTTCTTTGTTATTTGCTATTTAAAGTTTGCACATATGGTTGTGCTGCTGCACGATCCTACAGTGCCCTTACCAGTGGTAGTTATCCTCAAAGCCTAGACTACTGTCCCTTTGGTGCAGGAGTATGTCATGAGTTCAGGGCTGTTATTATCTCTGAGTCTTTTTCATCCTTAGATTTTCTGCTTCTAAATCTGACACTGTCACTAACTACAATAACACCAGTCAATTGAAGCCTTCCCAAACCCACTGGTAATTGTCAGCTTGTGTAGCCATATGTGTCCGGGTGCTGCCTAAGACAGAGAGATCTCCCTGATGCTTGTTGTTTGTATTTGGCTTGTCCATCCTAGGACACAATGCTACACAATGCCGCAATTAAAACATGATTTCTATATAGAATACGTCAAAAGTTTCACACCCAACACTGCGAGGATGTAACAGCGACTGTGGTTCTTTCGGTGACACTTTGGTAGCATCCGTTGGTCAGGAAGAAGCTGACCAGTCTCAGCTTCCCTTTTGCCCCTTAGGTAACAGGGAAAGACATGGCATACACTGAGCTGCCTGAATTACAGTGTCATTTTGTTGGAAACAGAACCCCACTGATGGGTAGTCCAGGTCAGCATCATTCTTTAAAAATAATGGAATTCAAGGGCTTGTGGTGGTTATAGCCACAGCAGTGTGACAGGAGAGAGCTTGTCCTTAGGTTACATTATCCCAACTGCTATTTTGTCATTTCAAAGTCCAAATACATTTTATTAAAGGACTGCTTTATTTTAAAGACAGAGGAAACTTCCTTCTACCTAATGGACAACATAAATCAGCATATGTGTATTGGGAAGGGAAACAAAAGCCTGTATTTTTGGTTTGCCACAGAGTTGTTTGCAATGCAAAACTGCCTGTAATTTCAACATACAAATACAAGCCTGATTACTGGGTTTGAGGGAAAGTTATTTTTGACAATTTGACCTCCTTGAGTGATAGTTTTAACCACTTTGTGGAGCCCACTTCTTTGTAAGGTGCTGTTGCTACCAAAATAGCTGTGGTTGGTGTGTTGGTTGACTGGCTGTACTTAGAGCACCATGGGCTCTTTCTCCTATGTTGGTGGAGAAAACCATGTTATACAGCTAGAGAATCTTATTCTAGGCTGGATACCTGCCCAGACACAAGAAAAATCATTCTAAGAAAGTACCTAAGGCTGTAACTGTTTAACCACAGTTATTTTTGCATAGCAAAGGAATTTGATGTTGGAGTACTCTTTTCCAGTCTTGTTTTTAACATGTAAAATGTTGAATTGAAATATTGAACTGTGAGATTTATTATCCCAAAGTTATCTGGCCTTACCAGTTTAGGAGATCAAGCAGTGGAATAGAATTCTGAAGAAGAAGGGCTGGTGTGGCAGTAAAAGACATAAATTCAGAGTTGAGAGTTAAGGTTAACAATAAAGGCAGGAAAGCATATCAAGGCATTGAAGGCAGCCATGGCAACCATAGAACTTCTTTGTCTTGCAATTTACATTGTCAATTAAAGCATTTTAGGTTTTGGTCTCAGTTTTTATGAAATTGAGTTCTAAAAATTATTTTTCTTTTCTAGAAAAAAATTGCATTTTGTCTTATGTTCTAACTCTCCTTTCCTTGCCTTCATACGAAGGCAACTATAAGCAGAGTTTTCACTGACTGAATTATTTCCCTATGAGATCTTGCTTTATCTCTATTTGAAAGGAGAGGTTCTCTTTTTTTATTCTTAGGGGCAGAGATTAAAAGAAGTGCATGCCAATTCTTACACAGAGATTATTTTGCATTTTGTTACAGGATTCATGCGTCAGACATAAGTGTAGCTTAAAAATATTCTCCTCACTGATTCCTACTTAAATGTTTTCAAGCTGTTACAAGGCATATGAAATACAGATCCAATTGAAAGGATTTTGTGCAACCATGCATCACAAATATAGTACCTAGGTGAATCACAGATATTTATTTACAGGTCTAAAAATAGACTTAGTAGGTGCCTTATGAATAAAATATCCTGGTTGCCTGGAAAGCTCCAGACGCTGAGCGGTGCAGCTTTGGGATCCGTTGTGATCAGTGATCCCACAGCACCTGTGAAAAAATGAGGTCTGGAGAAATACGGCTCAACTTTATAGTCTTACTCATTTTTAATATGAAAAAAATCACTGTGTTGCTACCAGCTCTGTGTTCCAAATTTGGTAGTTACATTCAATGCTATAAATTGTGAATTAAAATAATGTTTTAGGCAGTAATGCATCACTGGTGAAACTAAACCATGATGGCGTTATTTTGGAAACAGTTGTGAAATAAAAGCATAACTTAATACTTACAACTCCCATGTGGATATTAAAGTATATTTTAGCATCAGCTAATGTAATAGATTTTTAATATATAATAAAGCTTGATATGATTAATTTAGTACTAAATTGAAGAGAAACATCTGCCTATGAATACTGTATGAAAGTTATTCTTCCAGGCCCTTTTTCAGCAGCAGCCATGGCTGCCATGGATGTGTTACTGTGTTGATTTGAGAAGCTTTTAAAGGACAAGCAGTGTGTGCTTGCACTTCATTACACATTGCATGGTGTGATGTGCCACCTAGTGTTAAATTCCCCAGAAGGAGCAAAACTGTGGGTGTCATCGACAGGGCACTTGGAGAGTTAGTGGATTTCTGGAATGTTGGGTGTTCAGGAATATACTGTGTATGAGCAGCAGAGTGAGGAGCTAAGGTTTACATCTGTTTTTACTGACTGTTTATTTTAATATTTGCTTTCCAGTGCTCTGTTCCATAACCCTGGGTGTCTGTGGATACAGATCTGCCCAAACACTTCCCAGCTCCAGCCGTGCATTTGGATATTTATGCCTCAGGTACTGTTGATACCTGGGCCATCCTTGGTGAGAGTGCATGGTTTATGCTGTACTTACAAAGAAGTTAAATTGAAGAGAAACAGTTTTCCAAGGGCTTCTAAATGCATTTAACTGTGTAGGCAAAAAATGTAATAGCCCCCGAGATTTTGGAAGGATTACTCATCTGTTTTGTAATGCAGTGGTGTATTCTGGTGATAAGCTTAGTTGGCCAACATTGCCTTACTCTGCTTCTATCACACAAGCAGAGATGGGATTTCATGCAGTCAGGTAGTGTGTTGCTTAGGAAGTGTATTTTTCTGAGAAAAAAAAATGTCTTCTGTATTTGAGGAAGGGAGGAGAGATTTTTTTCACCAATCCACATCATGGATTTAACTAAAAACCTTTAACTCGATGAAAATCCTTTCCAAATTATGTATGAATTTCAATTCTAACAAAGATAATGGGTTGAAGAGATTACATGTTGATATAGTCAAGAGTGATGGATCAAAATGTACCCCCATAGTGACCTTCTGCAACAGTTTCAGGATTCTGATTAATCCTGGAAAAGAACTCATAATACTTCCCCACTTAACATAAATCTGAAAATCATTCTTCATTGAAAAGAATTGAACCTTCCTTCTAAAAGCCAACATTTCTGTCCTAAGGGCAGTGCCAGTGCGTAAATAGTGTTAAACTTGAACTTTTCAGTTGAAAATTTGAGCTTCGGAAATAATACTGTTAAAATTCATAAATTAAAAAGCTTTCAAAAATTGTTATTTTAAGAAAGTGAAACAGAGTCTTGATTTTTAAAAGTAATATCTTATTGCTTATTAGGTATGATCTTCAAAACCACACTAAGAAAAAAATTTTAGCAATTCTCAAAGAACCTGAATTCATTACAGGAATGGACATTCCCTGTCTTGATCATTAGTTGGGTATGTCAGGCTGTTGTTGGTATTTTAGAATATAATTAGAAGCTATTTTGGTGTTCAAGACCTTTTACAAAGTTATTAATACCTGGTGTTGGTGTTTTCCCTCCTCATACAATAACTCAATGATATGTCATTCTTTTTCATGCAAACAAGAAGGAGAAATGGAGAAGTCACTATATCCAAGCTCTGGGTTTCTGGTATTTATTTTCTACATTGTGTTAATTTTCTAAATCAGCCTCATTTTGTAACGGTTTCGGGCAAAGCAGTGTAGAAGCAGCTTGTTTTGTGGTCTGGCAGAAATCTCATCTGAAATGGGAACTATTTAAAGCACTTATCAGATAAATATAACTTTCTCTTCATTGTAGTTGAAGAAGGGAAATGGCTTTTGTAGAGAGTACTTTTACTATGGAGGCAAACTACAAAATCCCTGCATTTTTGAGTTAGCAGCAGTTGAAGTAATTGAGTATGAATGGAAAATATTAAATAGTATCTCACACAAAAATGCAACACACTTTTATTTGGAAATTAATGTCAGTTGAAACACGGTAGAAAACTGCACATCTTGGGTTTTTTTAATGAATTGAATGCAATAAGTGTAAAGAGAGTAACTCTGAAATCTCTCCTATTTTTGTATGTATAAACATACCAAATGTAACACTATTCTTGTTGCAGGCTAAATTTTGTAAAAAGCTGCCCCAAGTCCTCTGTGTTTTGTAACCTGTGCTGTTCCCACTAACAGAGCTCTGTGCACAGCTGGGTGTGGATCTGTGCACATCAGTGTTCACTGAGCCAGCTCAGGTCTCTCATAACTACATTCTAGAGGGAGCCCTGACCAACCTCATCAGGAGTCAGAAACTTCACTCCCTTGCAATAAAGTAAATGAGAGGAAGGTGGTTTTTCACTTGCACAGCACCAACCCAGAAAGACACTGAAAGGTGACTGTCTAGGTCACAGAAAAGTGAATTTTGCTATCATATAGAAAGCTATTGTTTATTTCTTAGAGCAAAGCCAAAAAAGTGAATCATACAATTCACTATCACTCGACCAAATTGGTGTCATGCACCTCTCAGTGGATATTCATATGGACATGCCACTCACACTCACAGTTTTTAAACCTTTATTAAGTATGCACATGAATTTAGGGTTATCTGACAAACATTTTGAGCCACTGAGGTTTAAAAATATTACCTCACAAAATTAGCTTTTACTGGAATCATAATTAGAGTTGTAGAAAGAGTTTGAAAGAGCAAATTGTTCTGTTCATTAGAAAACCCATCTGCAGAGCTCTAATTTCCCAATATTTATTGGTAGTGATGGTGTAAGTATTGTGTGTAGCAGAAGGAGCTCAGCTTGACTGTTCAGATCCCAGATGGAACTTGAGCTGTTGGCAGTTTAAAAATTCTATATTTGAATTACAAATTCCTTTAAATGTTGATGCAAAGGAATAATCACAGAACAGGAAGAAGTCAGAAAACTGGAAGAGTAGAAGTGATCTGAATATATTCCCTTCCACTTCAGCTAACATTCTGCTGCCCCTGACAGTGTCTGACTAACAGCCTGGAATGTCAAATGGAGCACAGGATGGCTCCTGTCCCCCAGCCCAGGATGCTGCTCAGCCAAGTCATTAGTTTATGGAGCTCTTCAACGCATATTAAGTCACATTAGGACGCAAAATACAGTTTTTCATGTCAAGGCCTACAAAAATCTTAATACAATTTTCATAGACATTTAAAAAGAAGGACTTGGCACAGCAGATTTCTGGAATACTGTTACACTGGCACTGAGTTTAGCTATTCTTAACCTGGCTGCCTGTGTTCCTTTTAGTTTCAAAGCTTTGGGGGATGTAAGCTTCTGCAATGCTGTACTAGGATATAAAGGTTATATCATATCAGTTGACAGAAAACATCATACCTGCCACTATGCACAGGAGGAAATAAACTCTGCAAAATGGATGTATTGAGGGAGTCTGAAAGAAAAGATACAAGTGTGTGTCATTTTGCTATAGTTCTTTTAATGCATAAAACAAAAAGCAATGATGGTGTCTAAATACAAAAATTATACACAGCTTTGAATATCATGATTCTAAGAATGCTAAAGCCATGTCTACAGTCTTCAGTAAATGTGTGTTTAGTGGTTGGGGATAATATCCAGGGCAAATCTTGACAGTAGCTTACACTTGACATGCAGATTAACTGACAAGTCGTATAAATATATTCCAAAATGAACTTGGATTAGGTTATGATCTCTGAGTACTCAGTTTGACTTTCTCTGTAGATCACCTCAAGTTATTTCCACATAATTCTACGTACCACCTGCTCTTGTTGATAAAGTACTGACTGAAGTAATTTGGTGGCCTGGGCAGCCCCTGCCCTCTGCCAGACATGCAGCAGCTGAGCCCTGGGGAGCAGAGTCAGCTGGTATGGGTGGGTTTTGCTTGAGGACTCCCAAAGGCTCTTTTCATGACAGAAGTGACTGTATCTCTTACGTACTCTTTGGAGGAAACGGGAGGAAGAAATACACATTCAGTTTTGTTGAATGAAAAAACACCACTGCAAGTATTATTGCCGTGGCTCTGTGTGCCTGCAGCCTCCCTGCCAGAGCAGAGCCTGAGGTTCTGTCAGGGGGAACACTGTGAGAGAAGGGGGACTGCCAAATACACAGAGGCTGGAAAAGTCCTGGGAAGAATATACAGAGAGGAAAGGGAAGGTTTGGGAAGGTTTGGGAAGGGAAGGTTTGGGAAGGTTAGGGAAGGGAAGGTTAGGGAAGGTTAGGGAAGGGAAGGTTAGGGAAGGTTAGGGAAGGG